TTTCACGAATGGAACAAATGGTTCTACTGAAGGGACCCTGCTAGAAAAGATCGATACTTGCCATACGCCCTTTGGTAAGCGGCTTCTAAAGCAGTGGCTTTGTGCCCCACTCTGTAGCCCTTATGCCATCAACGATCGTCTGGATGCTATAGAGGACCTCATGGTTGTGCCTGACAAAATCTCTGATGTGGTAGACCTTCTGAAGAAGCTTCCAGACCTTGAAAGGCTGCTGAGTAAAATTCATAATGTTGGGTCTCCCCTGAAGAGCCAGAACCACCCAGATAGCAGGGCTATCATGTATGAAGAAACTACATACAGCAAAAAAAAGATTATTGATTTTCTTTCTGCTCTAGAAGGATTCAAAGTAGCATGTAAAATTATAGAGATTATGGAAGAAGTCGTTGACAACTTTAAGTCTAAAATCCTTAAGCAGGTCATTACTCTACAGACAAAAAATTCTGAGGGTCGTTTTCCAGATTTGACTATAGAACTGAACCGATGGGATACAGCCTTTGACCATGAGAAGGCTCGAAAGACTGGACTAATTACTCCCAAAGCAGGATTTGACTCTGATTATGACCAAGCTCTTGCTGACATAAGAGAAAATGAACAGAGCCTCCTGGAATACTTGGAGAAACAGCGCAGTCGAATTGGCTGCAGGACCATTGTCTACTGGGGGATCGGTAGGAACCGTTACCAGTTGGAAATTCCAGAGAATTTCATCACTCGTAATTTGCCAGAAGAATATGAGCTAAAATCTACCAAGAAGGGGTGTAAGCGATACTGGACCAAAACTATTGAGAAGAAGTTGGCTAATCTGATAAATGCTGAAGAACGGAGAGACGTATCATTGAAGGACTGCATGCGGCGACTGTTCTTTAACTTTGATAAAAATTACAAGGACTGGCAGTCTGCTGTTGAGTGCATCGCAATATTGGGTAAGACTTTGAACAAACTTTGGTTAGTCCTTGTGTCCCAGTTATGCGTTAAGATTTAAATCCATTGGACATTTGCCATTGAGGTAGATCTCTAAACACAGCTAACAAGGTGTATGTCTTGACGTGTATATACTTGCCTCCTCACTTGACAAATGGCTAGTTTGCCTGTAGCAATTTAAGTTCACTTTTGCCCTTACTCAGTCTTGAATAATTGAATGAAAGACTGAAAGGTTTTTAGTACCTTTTTTTTTTTTTTTTTAAAGCAGGGGATTTATTCTGCTTTGTTTTTAAATTCGGGGCTTGAACCCTGAGATTAAGACGTGAGCTGAGATCAAGAGTCATACGTTCCAGATGCTCAACTGACTGACCCACCCAGGCACCCCAGATTTTTAGTACCTTTAGTATCTGATACTGTTTTTGATAATGTTTTTTTAAGTTTCTCTTTTTTGTTAGACTAAATTAAATTAAAACTATGTCTTGGCACATCACTTTTTTCTTTTTTCAGTTGATCTCTTTACATGCATATATTTTAAGATCTTAATCTTTTTATCTTAGCCCAAATTATCACACTTTTTTCTTATAGTTGATTTCTAAGAGCCCTGATTTATATATTTGTAATTTGGCAACCTTTTCAATTTCATAAATAGTTTCCTTTTTCTTTAAATTTCCAACTTATTTGGAGCCTTTGCTGTTTCACAGTTTAGGTTTTTTTCCTGTGTTTTAAAAATACAGTAACCATAGGTTACCCAAATTTGTAATAGAACTGTTCTGATCTGAATACAACTGTCCAGAATTGAATAGCACAATTATTCCTTAAACCAATACAACTTTGAACGGTTTGGTGGGTAATTTAAATCTTCCCTCAGCACAGGTGTTCAAAATTGGTGAATTTACTTTCTTCTTAAGATTCTTTTATGTAAGTTTGCCTCTTAGAAAAAAACATGTATAAAAAGCAACTAGAATATACTGCCCTCCTCTGAAAAAGTGTTTTTGAAAGACTTTTTAATTAGTTGATTTTTTGTGCTTCTCAAGCAGCCTCAAAAATGAAGCCTCACTTTTACCCTCTCTTTAACAGATGTCTTACTGTGCCTGGCTAACTACAGTCGAGGGGGTGATGGCCCTATGTGTCGTCCAGTAATTCTGTTGCCAGAAGAAGGCACTCCTCCCTTCTTAGACCTTAGAGGATCACGTCATCCCTGCATTACGAAGACTTTTTTTGGAGATGACTTTATACCTAATGACATTCTAATAGGCTGTGAGGAAGAGGAGGAGGAGGAAAATGGCAAAGCTTATTGTGTGCTTGTGACTGGACCTAACATGGGGGGCAAGTCTACGCTCATGAGACAGGTAAACTGAACATTAAGGTGTTGTTATACAAAGTCATTTGTATACTTTCGGAATATCTTACATATTTAGGCCACCCTTTCCCAAATAGCACATAAATTACATAGAATTCAGTCACCAGCATAATAGGAAGCAAAGGAAAAATGCTTTGTAATTGTATTTACCTTTATCAGGTATCTGCCTCATGTTATGGGGAGCATACATTAAAAATTCGAGATTTCAGGTCATGATTTCTTTATAAACTCTTTGACTTGATTGGATTCATTTCCTCTGAAGGTAGATGTATTCATAATGAATGAAAATGCTGGAGGTTTGTTTCTCAGTTAGCACTCATGTGTGGGAATCCTTATAAAAGAACCATGACAGACTTGTTCAGGTAGGAGAGCAGTTGAAATTCATGACCTCTAATAACTGTTGGAAACTGCTTTTGTCTTCTCTTTATACCAGGGGTTGGCCAGCCACTGAGCTAAACATATTTACATTTTTTAAAAGGTTGTAGAAAGGAAAAGAAATGTGACAGAGACATTGGACCCTTGACTAAAAATATTTGCTGACCCCCCTGCTCTCCTGTATAGGTTCACCAAATTTGCTAACTAGCAGGAGGCAGTAGAGTATAGTCCGTGGTTTTCAATCCCATTTTCGTTTTTTAATATTACTTGGGAGAGCTTCACAAAAAAAGTACAGAGGGGCTTCCATCGTCCCAAATAGATGCATTTGGTCTAGAACTGGTTCTAAGCATCAGTGATTTTAAGATTCTACCGTGTAGTCAGCCAGGGTTGAGAATCACTAATGCAGTGGGTTAAAAGGTCACAGGCTCTGAGGTTTAAAAAGCCAGTTAGGCCCTAAGCCTCTTGCCTACTTTGGATTGTGAACAGTTTTTTCAGAGTGCCTGACTCGTATATAATTGTTCTTATCTATCTGTATCTGCTTTTCTTTAATACATTAAAGACCTTTCCTCCTTCCTTCACAGGCTGGCCTATTAGCTGTAATGGCCCAAGTGGGTTGTTACATACCTGCTGAAGTGTGTAGGCTCACACCAATTGATAGAGTATTTACTAGACTTGGTGCCTCCGACAGAATAATGTCAGGTGAGTCTTCTTTTTCACCTAAGGCTTTATTAGTGGACAGTTCATTTCTACATTTTGTATGATAAATACATCTGCCTTGAAATTTGTGTGAGCCATTTAAATTCGATGTTTGGTTTTTCTGGTGTTAGCGAAGTGGAGTGCTTTCAGGCATTTGAAAATATTCTTCCTTCAGGAATTGCATAATCTCTTCATGAGATGTAACCTGTGGTACTGGGTAGCTCATGATAGGAACCCAAAAGATGAACGTACTATTTTAGGATTTTTAAAAAGATCTCCTCCTGTGTGTTTTTTTTCAGGTGAAAGTACGTTTTTTGTTGAATTGAGTGAAACTGCCAGTATACTTACGCATGCCACAGCACATTCTCTGGTGCTTGTGGATGAATTAGGTAAGACGTTACAATTTCCATTTAAAGGCTGTTTTATCATTCTTCTTGACGATGGTCGGACCTTTCTTAAAAAAAAGTTTGAACGCGCTCACCTTTGTGCCATAGACCCATAGTGGGAGATGGTAAGAGAGAGCATGTGAAAAGGTCTTTTAATTACCAAGGCTAAATTTTTTCATCGTACAAAAATATGGTTGTTATAGTAGGATGTTTCTGAACATCAGTGGTACCTGCAGAGTACTCTTTAAAAAAAGAAATGCAGGGGCGTCTGGCTGGCTCAGTCAGTAGAATGTGGGACTCTTGATCTCAGGGTTTTAAGTTTGAGCCCTATGTTGGGTGTAGAGATTACTTAAAGAATCTTTAAAAACAGCACCCTACTTCCAGGGCTGATAAGCAGAGATCTATTTAGCTAAACAGGGCCTATTATTTGGATGCACTAATTGAGGTTACCGTTTATCCTTTTTTCATTCCGTTGTGAGGTATATCCTTCTTGGTATAAGGCAGATATATAATTTATGCATATATTTTACTTTCATAGGAAGAGGTACTGCAACATTTGATGGAACAGCAATAGCAAATGCGGTTGTTAAAGAACTTGCTGAGAACATAAAGTGTCGTACATTGTTTTCTACCCACTACCATTCATTAGTAGAAGATTATTCTCAAAATGTTGCAGTGCGCCTGGGCCACATGGTATGTATAAATTGCTTATTCAGAACTTTAGATTTTTGACGAAATCAAGGCAGGTACTTCCATTGCTAGCACATGAACAGAACATATTTTCCTTTTTTTAGGCATGCATGGTAGAAAATGAATGTGAGGATCCCAGCCAGGAGACTATTACCTTCCTCTATAAATTCATTAAGGGAGCTTGTCCTAAAAGCTATGGCTTTAATGCAGCGAGGCTTGCTAATATTCCAGAGGAGGTTATTCAAAAGGGACATAGGAAAGCAAGAGAATTTGAGAAGATGACTCAGTCACTGCGATTATTTCGGTAATTATACTTGGATATAATTTTGCCATACAGCTGACCTTATTAAAACTGTAAAGGGGGATCGTTGATGCACTATGAAAAGCATGAACTGAATTTTTTTTTTTTTTAATTTTAAGGGAAGTTTGCCTGGCTAGTGAAAGGTCGACTATAGATGCTGAAGCTGTCCCTAAATTGCTGACTTTGATTAAGGAATTATAGACTGCATTGGAAGCTTTGAGTTGGCTTTTGACAAAGGTGGTAAATTCAGACAACATTATGATCTAATAAACTTTATTTTTTAAAAATGACCATTTTTCCATTTTCTTTCTAGGAAATTAAACCCTTTTAATTCTTATCTACCTTCTACATAATGGTTATTGAATACTCCACAATATATTAAGTCTAGATGTTATGGTACATGCATACACTTTCAGGCTGTTTATACCCACTGTCACCAATACACATAAATGGGGGGGAGCTATGAAACTGTATAGGGCTGTATATATACTTGTCTCAGCTTAATGCAGGAAATTGTTTTTAATTTCCAGCAGTTCGTCTAAACTGTTCAAAAAAAAACTATGAACAGAGTTCAAATACAGGACTGTTTTGAAGAGACTTTCTAAAGTGTACTTTAAAACATAGTAGTTTTTACCTTTCACAAAACTGAGTTACAAGAATACTTTTTGTTTTACAGTGCATCCCTTCCTAGGAAGTCTCATTAAAACACTCACTTTTTCTAGGGGTGATTTTGAATGCTGCACAGGAAAGGGAAGGAAATAATAGTCTTAACTTTTCTTAAAGGATACCAGAAACATTGCTGGATATAATTTAAGATTAGTGTTTTCTCTTTCATAGAAAGAACGTACATACTGGGACATGAGTACAGTTACAGCAAGTCTAGGTGTGCTAACAAAACAGGGCACATTCAAGTACAAGAAGATTTGCTTGAAATTAAAAACAAACTACATGAGATTAAAGCATTAAAATCATATTTCTCAATCTGAATACATGTTAAAAAAAAATCAAAAGAAACGCAGAAGTGCTAGCTCACATTTTTACCATATTACAAAAGCAATTGGTACCCATGTCCATAAAGGCAGCAACAAAGCTGCTTGTCTATTGAAGAGTACTACTGCAAATTGGACTGCATTCAATGCTAGTTGTAAAAACACCAGCTTTTTTTCAGAAGTTGGTATCTGTACAAAATTGCAGCTTATTTCTTCACTTCTGTCCCTTCAAAAGTCTTTACACAGTAATGCTAAAACACCCAGCTTTGAGATCCTGAGTCAATATATTGCCACTTTCTTTTTGGTAGCTTGAGCTTCATAGTGTCAACTGACCTCATGTATCCATTTTTAATACAGTCTCTTCCTGTAGCATGGGCAAATATTTTAAATCTTCTTCCAAAAAAATGTTTTAAGTTATGATGTTAGAATGGCAGGACTTTTTCTTTAGGGAAGGAATTCAGTTGTGCTGCAATGTATTAGATTCTATAGGTGGAGCAGAGTCATATAGTGTATCTGTATCGTGTGTAGGCTCACCAGCTAATGTACAAGGATTAGACAGTGTTCCAGCACCACAGTCACAGAAAAACCTAAAGCAAAATGAAAACCCAAAAATTAGGAAAGTGAT